CTATCAGGTGTCTGGGTAATGTAGCCTATGCCACATAACTCATCATTGTGTATACCCTGAAATATACAGTAAGCATATATTATATACTATTGTCGTGTATTGTCAGGGTTCTGAAACAAAGTTTGTTTTTCGCAAATTAGTTTCTTTTTTTATGGTATTTTCTCCAATCTCATTTAAGATGTCCCATTTTTTTTTATTCTTTCAGGGAACAAATGTTAGTGGTATTACTACGTGTTACGTCGGGTGTATTAAAATTACATCCACCCTCTGAAAGACATAAAAGTTTGGGTGGCCGCTTAGCACAGCCTATCTTTCAGGTAAAAGATGAAAGTTTTTCTGATGGCCGTATACCCTTGAATAGGTGATCAAACTTCAAAGGCTAATTGTCAAGCTAACATTAGATTTTTTCCCAGCTGAGAAATATATAAATGTCACTCAATTTAAATTCCAGGGAATTGAAACATATGCATGTAAATTAAATTACATAATAAAAAGAAAATATAAAATCTGAGATTTATTTTCTGTATTAATAATAGGTTTAAATTTCTGTAAGACAAGACAAAAAAATTGATAGAAACGGTCATATTTTTAGATTTGAATATAGTACATGTAATGTATGTTTCCACTCAATGCATTGTTTGTTACATTTTAGACTTTAATAGTAACGTGGATTAAAGCTAACTTGAATGTATTAATACCAGTTGAACTGTGGGATGAATTTCTACAAGTTCTAGCTTCACTAACATCTTGGATGGAGGTTGTCAAAGAATGGGCTGTAAGTCTATTTTAAAGTATACAATTTTATGCACCCACATTAAAGCTGTGGACGCACATTGTTGTCGCCCGGCTGTCCATCTGTTGATCCACAGTACACAATGTCATTTGAACACTCTACAAGCTGCTTTTATGATCTGATTGATAAAATGTTGTATTTATATTTTTTTTTTACATTAGTACGGTGAAGAAACCTATAGAATTTCTGTGATTTTGTTGAATTTTGTTTGCGCTCTTTACGTCAGAAGTTATCATCTGATCTGTTTGAAATATTTATGTATTGTTCAGATCAGTGAGACACAAAAGCCGTTAATTGTTTATAGGGTGATGGTCCTTGGTCACTTTGTAATATATTTGTATGATCTGAGTCATTATTCTCTTAAAATTCAAATACACAAGGCTCTCTAATAAATTGTACATGTAACCAGGTCTTTGGTATCCCCAGTGGCATTGTTGCGTTCTACTCCACTACGCCCTGGGTCCATTCACAGGGTTTTCACGATTTCAAATTATCTGCCCTTGATCGTAGGTTGAATCTATGAACCAATTAAAGAAACAGTTTACATACTAGCCTTATCGTCATTGTTTATGTTCACTACAACAATCACAGTTGCAAAAAAATGTGAGTTACTTCCCTTTGCCCACTCGATTGTTCAATAAAAATAGCACAAGTATCAATAGCGGATAATATGACTACATGTCTCTCGCATAAATGGACCCAGGGGTTAGTGTAGTAGAATGGAACGATACTACTGGGTATACCGAGGATGATGTAACCATAGGAATTACTTGATGTTAGATTTAGTACAGCCTAAGTAAAGAATCACTGAGGCATTAAACCGTATCGTTAAATTCTTTGTAACAGCAACGTCAGAATTTGAATTAACGATTCTATTTTATTGTGTTTGTAGAAAACTATGGAAACATTAACACGAGTTTTAGCCAATCAAGTGTATGGTCTGCATCTATATGATCTACCATTAGAACGATTGAGTGAACAAAAGGAGAAGCGAAAAAGGGGAAAAGGTATTACAACGATTGTCTCTTGGGTTTTATTTCATTTCTCTTATGTGTTAGCTATTTGTTGGTAATAATGCACTTTTTTTGTTGTGATCAGAATGAGGGCAGAACAGAAGTACTATTGGATACTATGATTGAACATGGTGTTTATTGCGGTATTTTTATGACTGGTTGTCATTGTTCAAAGTGTAATACCATTTGTACACTACTCAGCTACTAATTGGCAGGATATACTGTTTTGCCGAACAAGAGCAATGGCTGTAAATGGAGCACACTGTTCCCACTGTCCATAGAGAATAACACTCATTAGTGTTTAATACAATTTTAAATACAATTACATAATTCTTGGGAGGTTGGATGACCGAATAGTTAGCATGTGCACATTATATCATAAGGTCTGTAATTGAGTCAACTGGCATGGTTTCGATTCCCTGGTTGTATGTGACAAGGAGTAGGGTCGCCTGTCCAACCTCGTGGGTTTTCTCCGGGTCCTCTGGTTTCTTCCCACTGCTAAAAACCCCTATGCGCAAGCCAATTATTGAATTAAAATTGAACCATATGTTAGTCCCGAAAAGACCTAGTGTAACAGTCATGGTGAATCTCAAGTCACTATGTTCTACCGAGATTTCACTGCACCTACTGCCAAATTGTATGGTGTGGTGATATTTATTACTTGTTAGAGGTAGCACCTGCGGGAATGACTAGTACAATGTTGCTTAGTTGTATGGGTGGGAAGGAAATAAAAGTCTAATCGTATATACAGTGGTGTGCATGTAAAAAAATAAAATAAAAATGAGAAGTATTATGATTTCTATATAATGTATTGTGTTCTAAAATTTCAAACTGTGAAAATATTTTTAAGAATAAAGAAATTTTTGAATTTGAATTTGCAGAATCCCGATCTAGGTCAGTATGTGATAAAGGATTTTCCCGTAGCTGGGGACGGAATGAATCAGGAAGTACATTGAGAGGTTCAACTAACTCGGCACCCAGCTCCGATTCCCCTTTTGAAAGAGGAAAGTATCGAAGTGATGGCAGTATGAAATCAAAACATGAACTTCACAAGCAGCTTTCATTGAGTGGTGAGCCTTCACCGGCACACTCGCGTGCAGGCTCAGATCCCTCAGAAATCATGTTACGTAGCTGCAGTGAAGGAAATATTGCGGATCCCAGGGAACTTCTGGAAAAATTGAGAGGTAGGAATTTAATTGTAGTACTAATTGTTGTTTTAAAATTTACAGACAGGCATGACTACATGTAAAGCATGAATTGTAACATAAGTGACGTTCAGTTATTTTTTTTTTTTATTTGTCGTTATATGAAACTATGCCATTTAGCAATTGACACACCTAATATTAAACGCAAAAACATATGTAACAAAATTACTATTTTAATTAAAGTGGCGTTTTGTTGAAGGTTGTCTCAACATTGTCAAGCCAATGATGGTTTATGCAAAAGCAAGTAACAACAAATTAACAAATAATCATCAAAAACGTCGCTTTAATTAAAATAATAATTGTGTTCCATATTATTTTTTGTGTCTTTTACTTATTTGTAGTTACTTAAGGATTATAATTAAGGAATATTCATTTGACTTAGAGATTAACTGAAATGTACCAGGTCAACTATGTTTTCAAATCTATTCGAACTCATTTTTAACTATTCGTTATTTGATAAAACTAATAGAATTTGGCCTGATTTCTCATATCAATTCAATTAAATCAATGAATGTTCAAAAATAAACAAAAGAAGAATATTTTTGATTTGAACAATTTACAGTATTTACAAATTTGAATATGCACTCAAAACAGTCAAAAGTGACTATTTTGATTGAATCAGATATTTGAATAGGATATAAATATAGACATAGAATATTCAAATAGTATTTGAATATTGACTTAGAATATTCGAATAGCATTTGCGTATTGACTTAGAATATTCGAATAGCATTTGACTATTGACTTAAAATATTTTTGAATAGTATTTGAATATTGACTTAGAATATTCAAATAGTAAATCATCATTGGATGTGACCACTATTGTCGAAATCGTTGCCCATATCTGTACATTTAAGATATTTTGTCCTATTTTACAGTAAAACTAATAAAATGCAAACCTTTAAATATATTGTTATTCACCTCCCCCACAGCTAGCTAGCTTCATGGCACACTTAATTATGAATTTATTTAAAAGAACTATCTCTTTGTGTAGTTTAGCTTTTAAGCTTGCATTAAATTAAATCTTGTTATTTAAGTATTTATTAAACTGGCCCCTTTGAAAACCACAATTCATGAATATGAATAAACTCACAAACCTTGTTGGGTTTCGTTATTCACTTTTGTTTTTATACTGCTGCATGCTTGTTCAATTGATGCTGAATAATTGGTGCTTTATTCAGGAGCAAGTTTCGATAATGAAGAAACGAGCCCAACTTCTGGCATGCCTGCATGTGATAACCCCCTTTCTCCTACAGAATCAGGTAGGTTTTTGGTTACATGTACTGTTAAGAGAAAATCATGTAAATTTGTATGTTCAGTTATTATATTCTTATCTCAGTTAAATTCCTCCTCTGTATATGAATATTTGTAATATAATTGTTCTTTCATGGCAATGTTAAACCTTGGCATCGGCCTGAACTATATCACAATTGTGTTACAGTTATAATAAACAGGTTGTCAGTCGTATCCCATATTTAACCCATGGCTTGCTTTGCTTTATACCCTGGATTAATAAAAAAAATGATATTTAGTGTAAAATTTTCTTTAATACCAGATAAGGAATTATCAAGATATTTCAGTTCAAAAGTAAAAAAAATCTGAAAATGTAAGATTTTAAGATGTTAGAACATCAAGATTAAGTCTTGTGTGGACTTCAATTGATGTGATAAAAAAACCACTATAAATCTCAATGGTATTGGTTTTAGTTGAAATAAAGTGCCTTAATAATCTTATAAAAAAATCTATTTCAAATTGTTAAATATCAATATCTTTTGAGGCTGATACCTTAACATACCTATCAACTTGGATAGAACGAAAAACAAGTTAAAGGGTGCAAGTGGTAGATTAGGTAAAGTTTTGAACAGTTGGCAGAAATGTTGCCGTCTTGGCAAAATTCTAACCATCACATTTTACCCACTAGTCTCAAATTGATTGTGATTACCGGTAAATTTATTTCCTGATATTAAACATTATTCATTTGCTATAAAGGTGCTACAGCAGCTATGGAAGATGATGAAGTAGCTAGAATAACTACAACAAGTACATGCACAGCTGAACTAGCTAATGGGCAATTTATAGAATGTAGTGCAGATGATATGAGTCTGGATAAATCAGACTATGATCATCTTACATCCAGAGGTAACAAGCATTCTATACTAATTTCTGTTGAAATAAGTGTTTATCTACATGCATAAAAAAACAAAAAAAACTCAAGTTAAAAGGAAATGTCTCGGGTATATATTTTAGTGTAGTCGGTACAGAAAAGTAGGACATTAAACCCCATTTCATTTCATATTTTAATGGGTCAATTTGTTTAAGTTAATCTGTGGTAAGTGATCATCTTGATTACCAAGTCACTCATTAACAGTGGAATTTCTTATCTAACCCCAGTAAGCATATGGCTCAATATTTTGAACTGAAACTTGCTGGAGTTCTTTCTTCACATTTTCGTGTGTGATTTGTGTAATGAATTCTACTTTAATCAATGGGAACCCTGTGAAATCTGGGACTGCCTCTTTAATTATTTTCTTGAAAGCAAGGTGCAAGGTTTTTGTGACGTACTTTGCTCAGTATACATGTTTAATTTGCATAAATATGGTTAATTGATGTGTAATTATTTGTTGAAGTGTCGAGAAGTCCATCTCCTGTATCACAGTCTGGATCAGCATCACCTTCACCGACCAGTGAAATGACAATCCCTCATAAAGATAGCCCTACACCAGATAGAGATAGTCTACATATTGACATGATGGCAGGAGCTGATGAAAGCAGATCAGGAGGTAAGTAATAAACGTTACCTTTATTTACATTGTTATCCTCTGATTTTTTTTAAATGAAAATGTGAGCTCACCAAATTCACTGTGTCACAGAGGTAGGAAAGTTCAAGCAGCATTTGAGTACATTTCAGTCCAGCTCAGGTTCAGTCTGTGCTGGTGGAAAAGATGATAAACTGCAATAGAAATGGACTGGATGATAAAGAATTCAAACTATTTCCTGTGTAATTTTATGTTTCTATTCCTCTCATGTAATGTAATCTGCGGCATCTTTGTTAAATTTTCAGGGGATCATTTTATGTAACTTATATACATGTAATTTTTAATTTGGTTTATGATAAATAGAGAATCTCCTATGAGTCATCTTTTTGATATAAAAAAATATCAACACAAGTCGATAAAGTAAAAAAAACGAGGCTCTGCCAGGGAGTGGTGATATTTTTTGATATCAAAAAAGACGATAGGAGATTTTATTTATCACCCAATCCTTTCTTACATGCACATAAATAAATAAATATAATTCTTTGCTATAGATGTCACTTTTACTGAACCTGATTACATTACCGCGTAGTGATACATCATTTTTTCACAGCAATTCAACCATTGTAAAGTCCTTTATATTGACCCAGTGTTTCCATCAAGGTCAATTAAATAAAAATAGTTCATTTTTAATAAAAAAAGATGTTACTTTAAATAAAAAATGAACTGTTCTTTGAAATAAAAAAAGTAGTTCCTTTTCAACTTACCAATCAAATTCAAGTAAAGCGATATCTCTTAAGGGGATATCGCAGTAGATTATGCAATTTATCACACAAGCGATATCTTCTGTAGAATATATTATTGGGTGCTAAAAAAATTTAATTATGTGTCAACCCATCTTATGTGTTTTGAGGAATGGGACTGTGGGTCCAGTGAATGATGTATTTAAACTTTCATTTTTTTAAGATTTAAATGAATCAAAAAGTGTTTTATGTGGTGGTACCGTGACAGGGTGGATGCCTGATGTGGCTGTTATTTTATGGAAAAGGATGCTAGGATGTCTGGGTGATGTAAATAAAATTGAAGACCCTATAATTCATGCATCTGTTTTTGAGTATTTGAGTGATCTGCAAGATACCCTTCATAGGGTAAGAACATTACTTTTTCCTGAAAATTAAATTTTTAACATAGTGCTTAGTGATATTGTAAAACATAAAATTATCAAATGATGTAAATAAGGACATCTGTTTGGAATGAATGCTTTGTGCATTGTCATGTGTTTAGAAATTATCTGCCTATGAAGGCAGATTAACGTGGTTTCAAATAAAATTATCCCCTATAAATAACACATGACCATGGTAGTTGACAAATGTCCACAATAACTAACACATGGCGATGGTGATTGACAATTGTCTACACAATAACTAACACATGACCATGATGGTTGACAATTGTCCATAATAACTAACACATGACCATGGTGATTGACAATTGTCTACAATAGCTAACACATGACCATGATGGTTGACAATTTTCCACAATAACTAACACATGACCATGATGGTTGACAATTGTCCACAATAACTAACACATGACCATGATGATTGACAATGATCCCCTATAAATAACACATGACCATGGTAGTTGACAATTGTCCACAATAACTAACACATGGCGATGGTGATTGACAATTGTCTACACAATAACTAACACATGACCATGATGGTTGACAATTGTCCATAATAACTAACACATGACCATGGTGATTGACAATTGTTTACAATAGCTAACACATGACCATGATGGTTGACAATTTTCCACAATAACTAACACATGACCATGATGGTTGACAATTGTCCACAATAACTATGACATGACCAAGATGGTTAACAATTTTCCGCTCTAATTTATTCATATCTAAAACCTATTTTAAACCTACATTGTAATATGAATGTCTAAATTGTTTTAGACTCTAGTTCTGCTAATATATTGACGCCTGAAAATACCTATAAATGTTACAATTCTTTTTAGATGCGAGAAAATCTTGGTGTTACGGTTGACAACATGATATCCCCTGCAACTCCAGTTCTCATCCCCCATCAACAGAAATTTGCTGCCTGGCTTTTTGAGGTAAGTTTTCATATTGATGTGCAATATTTCAGTGACTAATATTCTTCTTATAAAGATATCACAGAATGAGATACAGGTTGTTGATAAAATTTTTAAAAATTTGGCAGATTGTTCATTTGCGTATAAGACAACCTGCATGATTTTCCTGATTTATTTATCGTAATCTTTGAAAACATATTGTGGAGTTACCTTTCCTTTCACATTTTCACTGTTGTTTTTGTGGCTTGTGGATGTATCCGTAGGTCTGATATTTGATATTTATCTGTTTCTGTTTACAGTGTTTAAAACTCGACAACAGATACAAAGAAGGCAAATTATTAGCTTATCAACAATTGTGTCAGATTATGTTACAGCGACATGATATAACTCCGTCTCTAGAAATATTATCACAGTATTATAATGTTTTACATCACGGTTTAGTCTCACCGGATCAGGTTAGTAATATAATGTTTTACATCATGGTTTAGTCTCACCAGATCAGGTTTGTATTATAATGTTTTACATCATGGTTTAGTTTCGCCAGATCAGGTTAGTAATATAATGTTTTACATCATGGTTTAGTCTCACCAGATCAGGTTAGTAATATAATGTTTTACATCATGGTTTAGTCTCACCAGATCAGGTTAGTATTATAATGTTTTACATCATGGTTTAGTCTCACCGGATCAGGTTAGTATTATAATGTTTTACATCATGGTTTAGTCTCACCAGATCAGGTTAGTAAATATAATGTTTTACATCAGAGTTTAGTCTCACCAGATCAGGTTAGTATTATAATGTTTTACATCACAGTTTAGTCTCACCGAATCAGGTTAGTATTATAATGTTTTACATCACGGTTTAGTCTCACCGGATCAGGTTAGTATTTAATGAAGTGTTATCACAATATTATTTATGTTTTATATGTTGAGATTAGATCAATATTATATTAGCAGTATGGTTACATTATTAAATCAAGATTCAGTATCATAGTTTAGGTTACTATTTTATCACAGTATATGCTTTACATCTCAGTTTAGTGTCGTTGTTATATATCATGGGGGGTGGATGACCGAATGATTAGAACGTGCGTGCTGTATCATAAGGTCTGTTACTGGGTCAACTGGCATGTTTTTTTATTCCCCGGTTCTTCGTGACAAGGAGTAGGGTTGCCTGTCCAACCTCGTGGGTTTTCTCCAGGGCATCCAGTTTCCTCCCACTTCTCTCTCTCTCTTTCTATATCATAGGTTAGACTCGTAGATCATTTTAGTATTATAATAGCCATATTAACATAATATTGCATTATAATTTTGTGTCACTGATTGGGTCAGTATAGTTAAAACTGTCTAAAAAGAATTAATGTCTTCCAGTATGGATCCCTTTGAATATCTATCACAATACGAATTTTGACATATCAGTATTTTTACTCTGCTTTCATTTTGTTTGCAGCCAATATTTTAAATCCAATATCTACCTGTGTCAATTTCTTAATTGATGTGTTCATTTTGTTTCAGGATGTGGCCAATGTTTTAATTCGTAATTGTGGGCCCAAATATTTTGGTTGTTCACTTCCAGCTTCTCATTTATTGATGTTAGATTTTATATATGCAGCTAAGACTATAATTACTGCTATGGATGTTAGAGAGGTTAGTATCTTTTAAAATAACGTACTGCTATACTTCCACTTGGATTTTATTTTACATTCTTTATAAAATTATTTTGAAATAAAACAAAAACAAATTCTTAGTATCCTACTTCTAGAGCATTTCTGGTACTAAAATTTTGAAAAATGGAATTTTGGATTTTTGTTTTTTTCTTTTTTTTTAGCCTCCAAGAGCAGAAGCTGTTTCAATGTTAGGTTCTTTGATATGTTTTCCTAATCATTTTCATGAGATGCCAGTTCTCAAACCTAATTCTGTAGAAAGAATGATTTTAACACGTGGTGATATGAAGGTAATGAATATATTTTGATTATATTAAATAGAGGAAACACATTTTGTAATCTATATAAAGAAATCAAAGATGTGTGTATGTATACTATTCAAAAAAAGTAGGGGATATTTGATTTTGGGGGCATAATTAGGGTGGCCCATGCACCTACAGAAATACAGTCAACCGCTGATAGTTCGAGACTACCACTGAAGCGTGCACATTCGCCGTGTCGAGGCCAACTTTCTGACAGTATGATACTATAAATAGCCATGGCACGTGCAATTCTCTACAAATCTATCAACTATTACAGCCGTAAAAAATTTATTGTTGACGATTTTGAATAGCAGTAAAATTAAGCTTCTTGGTTATTACAGCAGATTTAGAAATTACGTTTGTTTCATTTTTTAAATCGCTTTATCATTAACTGTACCGTTAAGAGCGGCATCTTTTGGTTTAGTACAAATACTATCTCTGAAACACTCGGGTTAGACAGGAACATGATACTAGCAGTAGTTTCATTTTACTTTTACAAGCTTCTTAAAACAATTGTTGAGCTAGCTAACGTGCTCATTTCTTAATTCAATTTCTTGTTCTAGCTTTCTGTTATGTTTCGTAAAAAAGTAGTCTTGATTATCCCAACCTGTCAATCAGCCTTAGAATGGTCGATAGACTGGTTAAGCGACTCTAATTTCAAAACAAGTGCACGTAACCTATCTTTTACTCAAAAGTGTCTGGATGTTATGGACGACACATGGAACCAGTTTTCAGTCTATTATTTATAGATGATTAATGGTCATAGCTTATTAAGTACAACATGATCGTTTATTTAGTGACTATAATTGTGTGAAACTGATTTGAGGCTTGGCATATATATAAATATTGTGGCGAAATTGTCGAGATATATGGAGATATTTATTTATGGTGGGTCACCCTAGCATAATACTAAAATATGCAAATGACTACGAAAAAAGTCACTATAGAACCTAACAGAAGAAACATTTCCAGTTACATGTGACGCCCAAACGCACCAATAGCTACCGCATGGAATGCAGGTGATGCTTGGGATCATCATGGGGGTCCAACCCAAGATTTGCACGACTCTGACTTTGAATGTTACAGTCATTGTGGCATTGAATTCCAGGGTGGAAACATCAGTTTAATTGTTTTAGTGACCAGAAAACAAATTTTGATATGCGTCGGCTTACCCAAAATGAAAGGTTACGTGCCCTTGGCATGCTACAGATCGGCACAACACAGGCGGTTGTGGCGCGGACGATGAATATTTCTCAGTCTGTCATAAGCAGGCTATGGTCCAGATACCTCGATACACAATCTGTACAGGACAGACCACGCTCAGGTCGACCAAGGGCGACAACTCAAGCCCAGGATCGATTTATCCGTACCTTGGCCTTGAGAAATCGTGTCATCACAGCAAATCAGATCAGCGCTCGTCTTCAAACAGACACTGGTGTGAGAGTGAGTGGCCAGACGATTCGGAATCGACTGCATAGGGGTCACCTTCGCGCCCGACGTCCTCGCGTGATCCCTTGTTTGAGAGATCATCACATTCAGGCAAGACGTCGTTGGTGTAGGGATCGTCAACACTGGGATAATCGACGCTGAAGCAATGTGATGTTTTCAGATGAGTCAAGGTTCACTGTTGATTTTTTGGACAGACGTAGGAGGGTGTGGCGTCGTCGAAACGAGCGCTTCCAAGACGTTAACGTCATCAGACATGATCGATTTGGGGGTGGTTCTGTTATGGTGTGGGGAGGCATCACTGTTGCTGGAAGAACGGCTTTACATGTTGTTGCAGGGCGTGTTACAGGCCAGTACTACCGGGACAACATCTTGGCAGTCCATGTTGTGCCGTTCGCACGACGTCATGGCCGCCGTTTCATCTTCCAGGATGACAACGCAAGATGTCACAGGGCCAGGATCGTTACAGGTTACCTCCAACAACAGAACATCACCACATTACCTTGGCCAGCACTGAGTCCTGACCTCTCCCCCATCGAGCATGTCTGGGACATGCTTGGACAGAGGTTACGTCAACGTCAACAACGTCCTGCCAATGTCCAAGAACTTGCTGCTGCGTTGCAACAGGAATGGGACAATCTGGACCAAAATGACCTTAGACGTCTCATTAGGAGTATGCCACGTCGGATCAATGCTTGTTTGGCAAACAGAGGAGGATTTACCCGTTACTGACTTGGTTGTGATGCTGTGGTAACTTTGCTGTTTGACCCCGGGTATCATTTTACCCTTATAATGGTCAGTCTGTGCCTTACTTAGTCTAACGATCATTTGGAATAAATCGATGAATGTGAACTTCATTTCATTTTGTCATTTGTTTCTTCGTCAGTTTCATTAGGTGACTTTAATAACACTTAAAAATCAAATATCCCCTACTTTTTTTGAATAGTATATGTTCAGCCATCACGTTTCATAGCAGCAATCCACCCCGAAATATGTGGGCCTAAATTAACCAGCATGACCCTGTGAATGTTTCAGGCCATGATTTATGAATTTCAATATAATTTATTAGTTAATGCACAGCCAAAAATCTGTGCTGCAGCTAAACTGTTTTACTGCAATTAACGGTTAACGGGAGGTAACTCTGTTTATTGTGGTAATTAAGTTTAATAATAGTAATGGATGATGTAAACTAGCGGGAAAGAGTGTAAGAATGGAGCTGGGTATCGGACTGGTATAATAATAACAACTTGTTAAACAATTCTGGATTGGTTGAAGGCATAGCTAGCCTATAGGTTATTTATTTATATCAGAAAGAGTCAAAAGTATTTACTATTTTAATTTAAAGAATTGTTGTTGCTTAATTAAGCCATTCGTGTATGAAAGAAATTACATTAAACGGGCGGGCTTGTACAAAAAGATAACAGATTTATTATTACTTTAATTGTCTAAGATGGCAGTAGGAAATCAAAACAAACCTGTGTAAACCTCTTTCAAAAGCATTTTGATCCATATATTATACAAATAATCAATTCTAACTTCAGTTATTGCCATTTAATCTTAGGAAAACATTCACTTATTTTGAATATACATTTAATCTGTTTTCAGAACCATATCATTGATTCATTACTAGTAGCAGGAAAACGAGAGCCAGCTGGTCTGGCTAGGTAAATATTCAATGTCAATTAAATTTGTCAAATGCAAGAAATAAAATAGACTGTATACAGTCTTTGTTTCATTTTATTTTATTGTCTTTTCATTTTTAATTTTTCACTTTATTTTGCCACTGTAAGGACTTACCTTTTGTGCAGTGGATAGATTTGTCCAAATTATACCATGGGGTGATTTTGTGTTACTGATTTTGTATCTGTTGTATCTTCTTTAGACTTCCCTTTCAAATAATTACAGTGAATATTATGCTGCTGTCATTGACTTCCAATTTTTTATCTATGCATTATATTTTGTTTTACTTCAGATGTGTAGCTGTTAGTAGTATTGGTATCTTTTTATATGAAGAGCTCACACATGGAACTCTTCACCCTAAAATCAAAGATGGTATAGACATCCTTTTGGCAGCTTTAAAGGTATCCCTTTTTAAAGATTAAAAAAAAAATAGCTTTGACAGAAAATATCAGAACTTTATACATGTTTTTCTGTAATGACTGTAGAAGGCTGGTTTTGAAAGATGGCCATTAATTAAAGCTAAATCTGCCAATTGATGGTCTTTATTTTGACTTCAAATGTTATATAAGTTATTATTTAGACATTTATTCACATCACAAGCCTATAAACACCTCTCTAGATCATCGGATGGCCAAGATTTAAATGGATTAGAACACCTGCGAGATTTAAAAATTTAGTTATAAAAAGGATAATTTTATTGTGACTTAGTTTCAATTTATTGGATTGTTAGAATAAAATGTATTGCTTATGCAATGAATCTATTATGAATATATCTTTCTATTTTGTATTATTTAGTGTGTAAACCGCAAAGTGGCAAAAGTAGCATCAGACATGTTGATGTTATTGTGTGATCATACAGATAAACTGCTCACTTATCATACGTATTTACCTAAAAAGATTGTAGAGGTAAGTTTTCATTAACCCTTTCAACCCAGTTGTTCAAACCTGGATTATATTATAGGACTTCAATAGTCTTTTGGACACCTTCGTGAATTGATCTCTTATATACATTTCTATTTTAACATTGAGACATTTATCAATCTAGCAGTATTACTATGTCAGTGGTAACACATGAAATGAAAAGAAATGAAATGGATTATAACGACATACTGTTCTGATCTGACTGGGCTATTAAAGATGGGCATACGACATACAGGGTACTAAAAGGGAAATTTTGCCTGGTCAGCAGCACTATTGCCTACACTTATATTGAATTCCAACTGCCAAGGGATCTTTTACGTGCATGCCAATGTATACACGGGACATCATTTTTCGTTCCGTCCTAATGACAAGACAGCTGTAATTGTCAGGTCTTCATCCTGCGCCACTGATAATGGGAAACCACACCGGAAAATCTTAATAAACTTTCTCAAGCCAATACAGGGATCAAACACTCAACCTCCATTCTAGCGAGCCAGCATCTTACCCTTTTAGCCACCCTGGCTCTGTGGTAACACTCAGTCAGTATTTTAAAGGGTTAGTGAATCCATAATATCACATTATGTAAAGACATTTCAGATCAAGAATTTCTGTTTAATAATGTTAGAGGTAAATTGTGTATTTGTTTAAATGAAATGATTTTGTGTTTTTCTACAGGTGATAATATCTACTATATCAAGTTTAATTTCTACACAGGAGAGTTCTTCACAAGAAGAGGAGAAAAGGGTACATACAGCTAAATTATGTTTTGCGTTAATTTTCTACTTATCAATGGCATTAAAATAGTTTTTTTTCTTTTTTATAAGACTGCATTATCAAGCCTCAACCATGCATAACAATAAATGCAAATTGTGTTCACTCTTACAGATATATTTCTAAATATGTAACCATTGATAGGAAAATATATTCAGAACTACAAAGTAAAATACGAATAACACATCAGTCTATTTTTACAAAGAAAAGTGGATGAGCATGTTAACAAGAGCTCACATCACTAGGCAACAAGGGACAACAGCTTGTGCTGACATTTGGTTGACAATCTATAATAATTAAAATGTTTTAATTTTTTGTTGGTTTATTGTGCATAGAAATATACACTCAAATGAAAATATATTTTGTGGGCAAATAGATAACATATCTTTAATTACGGTAGCAAATTAGGATGCTTTATGTTATGTTATAGTTGTAACAACTGATGATAAAAGGGAAAGGATCTTAGAATGTATAAAATTCTATTTTTGACTTGTATTATAGTTGATTGTTCTGATGATGTTCAGCCTGGTTGAATGGTGTATGAAAATACCTGTATACTTGTTAATGGAGACTACTGATACAGATCGTAGCTGTTTATATAAAGTCTTCAGGGTATGGGTTATTTTTATTTGCCCATATTTAATGTTGACAAATATTCTTGTTACCTTTGTTTGGTCAGAATTTACCAATTTGGGTTATAAGGAAGACCCCCTAAAATAATTCATAATTTTCAATTGCATATTGCAGAATTATCCCCCTGTTTACGTTTACATTTATAAAGACTTGTGCGTTGCTAGAGAAAACCAGATTCTGTTGAAAAACCAGTTGCCTATTTTTCAGGGAAACATTGATTAGAAAATAAAAGATATGTTTGTTTTATTTGCTTAATATGCAAAAACTATAATTGATTACTTTTACATTATTTCAGGTTCTTCACTCAGCTGTGACAGGCCATAGTACTACCTCTTTACCTCGCAGTGCTAACTCACTCTCTGATTTCATGCAGGATTCAGATTTCAGCAACGTCACAGACAACAATCCAGCAGTTGTTAATAGTTCTCCTAAATCTCACACATCAGAGAGTATATTAGAAGATGTAACTAATCTGCCTGAAGCACCAAATGTGTTCGATCCTCCTTGTAAACCTGAAACAGATATTGTTAAATTGGCAGCAAGAACAGTAAGTCTATTAAGAGCTAATTGGCACTCAGACTTTCAGAGTAAAGAGGGGACTTTTATCTTGGATTTGCCTGCTGGCCAACCATCTGTCAGGCACATGGCTCTGAACACAATAAGTCTGCTTCTAATTGAGGAAGAATGTTCAAACTTGGTGTAGATCTTGGGTGTCAAACATGTGACCCATGCACAAATTTCAACAAATTGATGTGTCGATAATTCTTAGAAACTAGCAGTGGAAATCATTTATTATTGTTTTCTGGTTTCAGTAAAACTCGTACTGTATGTCATAGACATATCTTAGTTGTATGTAATACAAGAGAATATTGTGTTCAATATTATTTCTTGGCAATTTGGAAACCAGTCTAGTTTTGTTTTATCTTCATATTTTTGTATATCTCTGGCCCACTTGATGTAAAAATTTTAGTTCATGTGGTCCCTGAATCAAAATGAGTTTGACACCCCTTATGTAGATGTTCATTAGGTGGATGTACATATTTACTGATGAGAGATGAGCTATTTTAGTTGTCAACCCTTTGGAACATGATAACTTTGATGGTAATTGATGTATAGTTTCTTCATATCAATACCAAATGGTTAAGGAGAGTGACAAGCAATTTGAGAAATGAAAATGAAATGAAATGGGGTCCTACTGTTCTGCTCCTATACTGGGCTAATGAAGACGGGCATATGCCATACAGTGTGCTATGAGGGAAATTTTGCCTGAGCAGCGGCACTATCACCTACTCTTATATCAAATTCCAACTGCCAGGGGATCTTTTACGTGCATTCCAATATATACACGGGAGCTCGGTTTTTCATCTCATCCGAAGGACTAGACAGCTGTCCTTGTCAGGCCCTCCGTTCTGCACCACTGACATGGGGAAACCACGTCGGAAAATCTGGATGTGACAAGCAATTTGAGTGGAAATCTTTCAAATGTAGCCAAATATTTAATTTATTTCAGTTAATGAAACATCTTGTAAACCATCTATGTCATTTTCCTATGGGATCTGGTCCAGCACGTCTTAATACATTAGTACAAGAACAGCACGATATACCAGATTATTTAGATGAAGATTTAAAACCTGATATCTTTTCTGCTGCAAATGTACAGGTAAATTATTTTTAACATATAATTAAATAACTGTAGTAGTGTATTTCATGAATTCTGTGATAGAATTAAAAGCAAGAATTAGTCAGACAGGCTATCTATATTCAATATTCTTGTGTAGTAAAAGAAACCCAAAATTTTTGGATTTTAGGTAGTTATTAAAACTGTAGATCGTATGCCTGTTCTTTAAATTTGCTTCTGGTAAATACTAGGAGGTTCAGTTTGCAACTCCATGATAATACATTGATTCCTTAATTCATGGAGCGTTGGATGGCCGAATGGTTAGCATGTGCGCTCTGTATCGTAAGGTCTGTTATTGAGTCATCTGGGCTGGTTTCGATTCCCCAGTTGTACATGACAAGGAGTAGGGTTGCCTGTCCAACCTCTTGAGTTTCTCCAGGTCCTCCGGTTTCCCCCCACTGCTAAAGACCCCTATGAGCATGCGAATTATGGAAATTGAACCATGTTTTAGTCCCGAAATGACCTTGTTTGTGTTGAGTGGACCGTTAAACTCTCTCTCTGTCTGTCTGTCTCTCTCTCTCTCTCTCTCGCCTTCCTGTGATTAGGATGGCAGCCGCATAGGATATATTCTCATGGGCATGTGGTATGAAATGTCACTGCACCACCAAATGGAATAATCCATTTTTTCTGCTTACACAAATTCTGATTCTTTAATATTCATTTGAATAAGTGTGAAATGAACTTAATATTTGCCAACAATCAGCTAATTTTATAAGCCTAGTACAAGAGTATCCGTTCTGTATTACTTTAACTTACTAGATCTATTGTCTTTCTTTTCAGTTTTTTGTTTTAAATCGTCGTTGTTTGGTCTCTTTTGTGGAACTTCCAGCAAAGGTAATGTAGATATGATTTATATGAAGTTTTGTGTGAAACAATAAATTGGTGACTTACCTCTTTTAGTAAATTTATTGACCTGAGGTGTGGCTTATTAATGAAAGACTTAATAATAATAATAATAATAATAAATTTGTATAGCGCTGAGTGCTCCAGCTAACAAGCTGCTCCAGGGTGCTCTTCATAGTCAAAATACATACAATGTACATACAATACAAAGAACAGATTTTGCTGTTTAAGAAATCGCTTGCTACATTGGGACTTTTTGTAGCCTACCATTTCCAAACATTGTAAAATTATTCTCTGATGGACGACTCTGTTTCTACTGACTGGGGATTTACTAAGACAATGGAGGCAAGTCTGAGATTATACATTGAATTTGAAGTATGTAGATTTATAATGTATACATGATTCATCCCTTAAAGATACATTGTGCAAGAGCTAAATCTGCCTATTGCAGGTCTTTCTTTAGGTGTGAAATGTTCTCTAAATTATTACTTAGACATTAATTTATTTCTCCAGACCATAATCAACTTTCAATGCCATCGCTAGCCTGCGATATTTACTGGATTAGGATCCAATCTACTGCTCTACGCTCATTCATGATTAAATCAAGAAATGGATAATTAAGACTATGTTTTTTATCATACCGACTTTAGTAATAATGATCGAGGCTAGGCCCAAAATTCAATAACTGAATTCTCGGTTCAGCGTGGATCAATTTGACTGAAATTTTCAGCAAATTCCCTTTACATTATCTAGTTTTTAACTATAGCTCTTTATCTGATCTCCCATAATTTTTGTTTAAGTTTGAGATCGTTTACATGTGTTAGCTATATCTGGTAATCAATTGTCTTGTAAAACAGAAGGTATAAATTTTCAGGAAGCACCAGGTGGTGGAGTAACAGCAGGATTAACTACAGCTAAAACAGTATGTCGTGTAATAGTTCGAGATGTTGGTGGAAACTTTTGTTGGGAAAGTTCTGTATTGTACAGCCCCCCTTGGTGTAAAAAGGGTTCGTCTTTACACAGTAAGTGAACATGCATATAATTTGCATTTTACCCTTTTCCAAGGTTTTAACTCTTTACGGGGGGGTGGGGGGGGAGTGGCCGAATGTTTAATGTGTAACCATTTGATCATAATGTCTGTATTTGAGTCAAGTGGCATGGTTTCAAATTTCCCGCTTGTACGTGACATGGAGTCGGGTCACCTGCCCAACCTTGTGGGTTTTCTCCGGGTCCTCTGATTTCCTCTCACCGTTAAAGACCACTATGCGCAAGCGAATTATTGATATAGAATTGAACCATGTTAGTTCCGAAATGACCTAGTTTGTTTCGAATTAAAGTTGAACCCAATTCTCTCGCTCTTTAACTCTTAACTTGGACAAACCAGTGACAGCGGCTCCTTGTTTTCATTATACTGTTGGCGAGCAAATGTTAGCCTCATTGTGACACATTATGCAACACAGTCTCCCATTGTTGATGGTATATGTTGGTAATCTGATTGACAATGGGAAGAAAACATTTGCATATTTAAATGGGATATATCTTGAGAATTCTGCCAACATTTACTTTTAGGCACCTCACATTTTATTAGTTATGGCTACTTTCCTGAAGAATGATCGAAAAACTGAATTTTCTAAAGAGGTATTCTAGATGAAAAATATTCTTTAGTTATAAGAGTTAAATTCCAACTAGACCTCCAAAATTTGTTTAAAGTCACAATGGCTGAGTATGATTGAGAGAGCTGGTAATGGAATTATATATGAAAAACATCTAATGTGAACATTTACATTTTTGCCTTAAGAACAAACTTAACATGACAGGATATTGTAAGATATATTATTTGTTTTAAACAGATGCTCAATTATTGTTGGGAAAGACAACAGAATCAGAACTTGAACCATTACTTATACAAGAAGATTCTGACATAGCTTTACCTGCACCTTTGGTTAAACGTGGCGCGAATATTTTACCTATGTTTGAGAATACAGGGGAAGATGACAATCTAGATGATGTAAGTACTTTAACTATGTTAGCATTTGTAATATACTATTCAAAAAAAGTAGGGGATATTTGATTTTTAAGTGTTATTAAAGTCACCTAATGAAACTGACGAAGAAACAAATGACAAAATGAAATGAAGTTCACATTCATCGATTTATTCCAAATGATCGTTAGACTAAGTAAGGCACAGACTGACCATTATAAGGGTAAAATGATACCCGGGGTCAAACAGCAAAGTTACCACAGCATCACAACCAAGTCAGTAACGGGTAAATCCTCCTCTGTTTGCCAAACAAGCATTGATCCGACGTGGCATACTCCTAATGAGACGTCTAAGGTCATTTTGGTCCAGATTGTCCCATTCCTGTTGCAACACAGCAGCAAGTTCTTGGACATTGGCAGGACGTTGTTGACGTTGACGTAACCTCTGTCCAAGCATGTCCCAGACATGCTCGATCGGGGAGAGGTCGGGGCTCAGTGCTCGCCAACATAATGTGGTGATGTTCTGTTGTTGGAGGTAACCTGTAACGATCCTGGCCCTGTGACATCTTGCGTTGTCATCCTGGAAGATGAAACGGCGGCCATGACGTCGTGCGAACGGCACAACATGGACTGCCAAGATGTTGTCCCGGTAGTACTGGCCTGTAACACGCCCTGCAACAGCATGTAAAGCCTTTCTTCCAGCAACAGTGATGCCTCCCCACACCATAACAGAACCACCCCCAAATCGATCATGTCTGATGACGTTAACGTCTTGGAAGCGCTCGTTTCGACGACGCCACACCCTCCTACGTCTGTCCAAAAAATCAACAGTGAACCTTGACTCATCTGAAAACATCACATTGCTCCAGCGTCGATTTTCCCAGTGTTGACGATCCCTACACCAACGACGTCTTGCCTGAATGTGATGATCTCTCAAACAAGGGATCACGCGAGGACGTTGGGCGCGAAGGTGACCCCCATGCAGTCGATTCCGAATCGTCTGGCCACTCACTCTCACACCAGTGTCTGTTTGAAGACGAGCGCTGATCTGATTTGCTGTGATGACACGATTTCTCAAGGCCAAGGTACGGATAAATCGATCCTGGGCTTGAGTTGTCGCCCTTGGTCGACCTGAGCGTGGTCTGTCCTGTACAGATTGTGTATCACGGTATCTGGACCATAGCCTGCTTATGACAGACTGAGAAACATTCATCGTCCGCGCCACAACCGCCTGTGTTGTGCCGATCTGTAGCATGCCAAGGGCACGTAACCTTTCATTTTGGGTAAGCCGACGCATATCAAAATTTGTTTTCTGGTCACTAAAACAATTAAACTGATGTTTATACCCTGGAATTCAATGCCACAATGACTGTAACATTCAAAGTCAGAGTCGTGCAAATCTTGGGTTGGACCCCCATGATGATCCCAAGCATCACCTGCATTCCATGCGGTAGCTATTGGTGCGTTTGGGCGTCACATGTAACTGGAAATGTTTCTTCTGTTAGGTTCTATAGTGACTTTTTTCGTAGTCATTTGCATATTTTAGTATTATGCCCCCAAAATCAAATATCCCCTACTTTTTTTGAATAGTATATATATCTATAAGAAATATTTATTAATCAAGACTATTACTATTCAGTTGTAATGAATTAATCTAGACCCAAATGCTGAGTTGTTTTTGCTCCAGGAACTGGTACCCAAGCTCCACTCGTCTTGTTGTTCTTGTGGCCACTCTCTTCGAAAAAAGCATAAGACTCTGACAATTCATGTACGATGGACATGAAACTTGGGTTGCTTAGTTCTTAAACAATGATGCATCGACTGACGGACTTAGATGGCTGTGATGATGTCATACTCAGTTCATGGTCCATAGTACACTCATAATTGTTGTTTTAGTTCGGTTTGCAAGTTTGACTGAACATTACCCATTTTGCCAAAACTTGGTTTAAGAATATGTAAATTGTTATATTCTAGTTACTATGTTATATTGGGCATACAAGCCCGGAGTGTTTATTAAGGCTTGGCAAACCATTGAACATTAATCCGCCCATACCAGAAGACTTGTGTGATCAGGCTGAAGGAATGATGACGTCCATGGTACTAGATCAGAGACAAGCAGAATTAGAGTATTATAAACATCACAAGGCAGATGTTAGGTAGGCTCAGATTTTATTGTCAGTATTCTTGTTATAACATCTTTGATGCTGATTCAATTTGAAAATAAGACAAATTTATCCTTAAAGATGCATTATGTAAGAGTTAAATCTGCCTATTTCAGGTTTTTTTCTGGCTTGAAATTTTATACAAATTGTTATTTAGACAAGCTTGTACTTGTAGTCAACTCTCTTGAACACTGGATGATGGAGATATTAAATGGATTAGACAGTGTCTGCAATATCTTGATCAAATGTTAAAATGGAAAATTCAGAAGTCATTTATTATGGTACTTGACAATCAAGACTACATTCACTATTTCTTATCAAAACTTCAAACATTAATAACTTTGCTGAGAATAAAGTAATCTGACTTAATTTTCAATATATTCATTTTTCATTATCTAATTTTATCTGAATCTCACATAATGCATCTTTAAAATTATATAAAAATTGATCAATATCAATATAAACCGACCTTATCAAAAACATGTCATCACTTATTGCACAGATATCAAGAGAATAAAATTTATCCAGCGGCATCTAGAGTCAAATGTTCGATGAAAGACGATGGATTTCTGAGAATTCAATATGGAAACGGTGGTTTCTATACTATATCTTAGACTTTATTATGATTATTAAACCAATTGAATTGATTTATTTAAAATGCTCAGACAAAGGGAAATAAAGCTGTAAGTGATATTATATTGGTGTCAAGATAATCTTTTATTTCATCACTGTGTATGGTCTTTTTACACCTGCATGCCATTGTAGTAAAATTAAAGTGTAGATCACAAATTTTGTTAATAAAAAAAGAACATGCCTCTTTGGTTTAAATGATAAATGTATATTGAAAGTTCCTAACTTCTTTTTAATCACCTTCATTTGGTCATTTCATGTTTTCCAACTCCCTTGTGAAATGAGTTGAAATTTGCCAACATGGAAGACTGTTTTATGTCAATTTTGCATTAAATATTCATCAAAATTTTATACATCATATCTTTTCTTTTCTACTTGTATTATCTAGCTGTATTTTAATTTAAGTTTTGTAAACTCGGCAGATTCATTGTGAAAGTAAAAACTATTTTTGTCAAATGTGACATATTGCTCATGTCCATCCCTTTTTTCAGTCATTGTGAGCACTCATCAACAGCTACATGTACTTTTATCATCCTATCCTTTCACAATATATATATGATTACATTAGTGAGACGTAAAAGAATATTCAAATAACTTCTGAAGTTATTGCCCTTACCATTGTAGAATCATGTGAACGGGCAATTTCTGTTAATTATTTCTATAGTTATCCTTGCTCAATTATTAGAAACTTGTGAACACTCTAGCAAAAATCATGATACGATCTACTTTTTATCTTTGTTTTGATTATTACTTTGAATAACAATTACAACCTTTTCTTATTATTAGTTAAAGAGTTATTGTCCTTTATTTATACTAAAGAATCTTGTAAATACGCCATTTACCAAAACATTCAGTATTCGGCAACCTTTATTGACTGTTAGGATGACTTAGCTATTACTGAGGGCATATATTTCGTTGTCTGCCAATCTGTTTGTACAAGCTTTGATTGTTAATTTAAAGATTTAAGATAAATTTTCATTTTTTTTCTTTTATTTATACATCTGGCAGCTTTTGTGAACCTGGGGCATATTCACAAATACTTAAAATATTTTAAAATGTTTGTGAAAAAAAAACCTTGTTCTATTATTTGAATTTTCTGAATTAAGTAGACCAATCTCGAGCCACCATTGAAAAAACATTTAACTTAAAGTCAATTGAGGATTTCTAATCCCTTGCAGACTGTGATATTGTGAAAGTTGAATATCTTAAAGGAATATTAGTCCAAAAAATAGTTTTATTTCATTAAGTATTTATAAAGATATGATGCATTCAAAAATTTGTCAACATTCAACATCCTCTGAATATGATAGACGTGATTTTGCCAAAAAGTCAGTGGTACCTATAATCTTCATTTAGGGTTACACAGTTCATATTTTATCTGTAATGTGTGGTGTTAAATGACAGGATTTTTGTATTTACCATTTTTAGTGTCATTATATCTAATTAACCATGCATTGAATGAATTGTTTGTAAATGTATGAATTAACTCAATAAATGAAACATGCAAAAAATAAGATGGGACATGTTGGCATCTCAAGTTTTGTTAGAGACTTATAATTCTTGTTTGATTGATTTGCACTAATACTTTGATAACGATCCATCCATTTGATCTAATAATTTTAAAGTGATGAATTTTATAAATATTACTTATATTAAATTGTTACAGTATGTTGGCCAAACCAGAACTACCTGATGAGATGGAGGATCCTATATCACCATTTCAGATGTGTCGTATGTTATTAGATCAAATGGGACTGATGTCATGGGAAAAAAGGTAAATTTAAGCTCCTATAAATGTCTATATTTTGAAGAAAAAAAAACTATTTTGAAAAATATGCTTTATTTTGAAAAATATGCTTTATTTTGAAAAATATGCTTTATTTTGAAAAATATGCTTTATTTTGAAAAATATGCTTTATTTTGAAAAATATGCTTTATGTTGAAGCTTTATTTTGAAAAATATGCCTTAATTTTGATATGTACATAGCCTTTTTCTTTTCAAATATACATAGCCTTTTTCTTTTCAAATATACATATGCTTTATTTTCAAATATACATATGCTTTATTTTCAAATATACATATGCTTTATTTTCAAATATACATATGCTTTATTTTCAAATATACATATGCTTTATTTTCAAATAAGCTTGAAAATATTCACTCTTTTAGTAATTAATTTAATTAAATGTGTTCAATGTTTAATATATATGTTTCTAGTTAAGAAATGTGCTTATGTTTAAAATATATGTTTCTATTAAAGATGTCAGTTTGATTTACTGAAGAAGACTGATAAATTGTTGAGAGAACTTAAAAATTTGGACAACCAAAAATGGTATGTAAGATAAATCTTTATTTTATTTTCATGTCCATGTACAATAGACCCAATGAAATATTCTATGAATAATCTATACACTTCTTTAGGACTAGTGATGTGCCAATAGGGCTACTATCGGTTTTACCAATATCAGAAGTTGATAGCATAGATATCGGCCAATACAGATACAATTACCAATGGTGACTGAATAAAAACCATTACCTGTTAAAATGCCTCGAATGTCATGATAACTGATGTAGATATATGTCATTGTTAGTTGGGAAACAGAGGATACTATTTTTTTTCGGGAATCAAACACGAGCTCGATATTTATAGAAGAAATATTTAGGCCACACTTTTTACACAGTTAAACCTATACACCATCTATTGAGAACTTAATTATTTGCATGACAACCCATCTGTACTATTGTAAATGCAATACAAGAATTGTTTACAGTTGATTTTTAATTTTCTCTATTAATTGTATTTTGTTATTTAGTCGGGAAACTCACAAGATAGCTGTCATTTATGTTGCTACTGGTCAAGAAGATAAGAATTCTATTTTATCGAATACCTCTGGTAGTCGGGACTTTGAGAGCTTTGTAGCTGGTCTAGGTTGGGAGGTTAGTATCTGTAACTAATCAGTGGCGGCGCCAGCCGTCGGTGATTGGAGGGGCAAAGCTGGGGCAAAGTCCAAGGTTAAGGGGGCAAAGGCACGAGCTTCAACAAGGGGTAGGGGGCCTCCCCCAGAAAATTTTGAAAAACAGGTTGCCGGAAATGCAGCCTGGCAGTATTTCAGGCACTGATCGATAAGGTAAAGTGTCAAACGAACGGACTTGCGAATCACGACGAAGCCCACTCACGGGCGTCAAAGTAGGGAGTCCTCCCCCCAAAAATTTTGAAAAATAGACTGCCGGAAATGCTGTCTTACAGTATTCTGTCGGGCACCGATCGTCGAGATAAATAGATCTGCCCAGATACCGTTCGTCGCCTGATCACTAGTTTATATCCGACTAGAGAACAAAATGTCAAACGAACAGACTTGCGAACCTCAACGAATTTCCCTTGTGAGCGCCCAAGTAGCGAGTCCATTGGGGACCTCGCCAAGAAAATTTTGAAAAATAGACTGTCGGAAATGCTCTACACCATGCAAGTTTATGACTGAGTGGGGATGTGGGATTTATTCACCGTAGAAGGTATTGATTACCGAAACGTATCACAAATACTTTTTTTTATTTTCTAAAATTATTGGGGGGGCAAACAGAGGGCAGACCAGATTAATGGGGGGGGCAAATGCCCCCCCTTGCCCCCCCCTCCCCCTGTTTAATTTTCTTCACTCCAATAGCAGAATAGAAAAGATATTAATTGCCATTTAATATTTTGTGATGTACTGGGTTTGATTTGATACCCTTCTGAGTTTTTGTTCATTAGTCAACTGTCACTAAATCTCTTGTGGGGTTAAAAACCAAATCTTCATCAGGGTAGACTTTGCTATGAGTATCTTAAACATGTTATTTGTTGTTATATACCAGGTGGATCTGGAGTTACATCAGGGATTTATAGGTGGTTTACAGAAAAATAAAACAACAGGTGATACAGCTCCATACTACGCAACATCAACCTGTGAAGTAATATTTCATGTGTCGACTAGAATACCTGTTGGTACAGATGAATCAAAACATGTCAAGGTAATTAGAACTTGGATTGCTCAAAATTTCCCAAAACTACTGCTATACTTGTAGCGCCTCAAAGGTATTTGTAGTGGGGTGACAATTTAGTCTTCATTGAAAATTTTATGTCCATAAATTAGCAGTGTTCTTTTCTATTTGATTAAAATACAGATCTATATTTCGTTCCATTTTTTTTATATCTTCGATCGCCTGCACTGTATGAAGATCTGACCAGTTGTAGTGAGAGGTCGCGTCAGGGGTCATACGGGCAACTTTTGACCTGTGACGTCAGGCATTTGATTAACCAATCAGCATTGATATTTATAGCAGGTTACTCACAGACCGTTTCATTTGCTAATCCCTCACATCAAGCAGAACATTTGTTATATAACAACTCTTCCAGATCCTAGTGTAGTAAAGACAAGTAAAACGAAATTTGAACAACAAAAAATGAAACGAAAGAGGGTCTGTGTTTTAATCAGCTTGAAGCAGTGTTGAGATATAATCGATTTTGTGTTTGACTTAATTTTATCAAAATTTAAACTATAATTAGCAAACACAAAACTTTCATCATATAAAGCTTTCCCCATCAATAATTGAAATATCAAAGAGTAAAAGACTATAAAACATACTTCTGGAAAACAACTACTGATATGTTTAGGTGAAGTATGGAACTCTCAAGTTTATCAAGGTGTTTTCCATAAGTATGTGTTTACTCAATCCAGTTTACTAATTGCCACTAAAAGATTATAAAAAAAGAGGTTTATTTCCTTTAAATTGATAGCTAATGAGAAAAACAAAAGTTTAGTTATATGAAATTTGATTTGTAGATGCGACATCTTGGTAATGATGAAGTACATATAGTATGGTCTGAACACACTAGAGACTATCGACGTGGAATAATACCTACAGAGTTTGGTGATGTTATAATCATTATATATCCTTTAAGTTGTGGTTTATACAGAATACAGATCAACAGAAAATCAGAGGTTAGTATTCTTGTGGAAGATAGCTCAAATAATTGGAATATACATAACAGAAATTATAGGTCAAATATACTCAATTCTGGAGACTCTTATTTAACGACACAATCTATGCTCTTGTAAAAGATGAAACTCGTCGGTAATTTATTAGTTCTTTAAAAAAAATGTTTAATAAGAGATATTTTCTAATTAACATGTATTTTTAAAAAAATAACTTGTTTCAAATAGAAGTTTATATTCGATTCACAATTTTGTTTTAGTTTTCTTGGATGATATCACATGCCTTTGTCCAAAATGTACATTTGATGTTGATTAGCAACTTAATTAAACTGTTCAATGTTTTGAAAATTCTATTTGTTTTTTTTTCTTCAGGTGCCATATTTTGGACCTCTATTTGATGGTGCAATAGTAGACAGTAAAGTTTTACCTGGTCTGGTTCGAGCTACAGCCATTAATGCTAGTCGTATTAAGCGATCACTTATGCCTTTCTTTCATTCTTTGTATCCTTTATTCACCAACACATAACATTAAACCCAAGTTTACTAAATGTCATTGTGCTTGATAACGATAAGAGGATACTTGTCGAAACGTCGTGCTATTAGAATAAAACCAGTGATTGTTTACCATAAAAATTGTGTTCTTTTATAGCAAATGGGTAGTTTAGAAATGGGTTTAATTTGTAATATATCGGCTTTATTGGATCATGTAGAAGGTGAATTATTTAATGCATCAGTTAATTTTTATTTTTGATGACCACCAACCAAGCAGATTGGGTGATTTTTAAGAGTTAAAGGAAGAACGGTATGAGTAGGGAACATGGTACAACAGTGGAATTGGTTTTTACCAGTATTTATATTATTCAATTTAATATATTTGATTGTCAAATTTTACGTTTAGGAAAAAAAAAATATGATTTGAACATTGGGTCAAGGTAGGAGGGTGGTCAACCACCAAAATAGATATCACTTTACATTTATTTTTGCGGACAGGAATAATCTAGGGTTTTTTTTGTCAGAAATGTAAAACAAATTGAGCAGATGTGTGTTTCTTCAGGCAATTTTTACAATAGATTCGCAGACAAATTTGTTATTGCATATGTGTTTAAGATTTTCTTAATGGCTGCTTAGTTACGAGGAGCGTGCCAAGTGCCTGGAGACAATCATACAACAGAATACAGAAAATACAACATTTGAAGATTTTGCAGCTTATATTTTTGCCCCAGTTTTACCCACAAATTCAGCAAGTAAGTTTGACTTTACTTATTTTTGGGGATCATTTCTAAGAACAGATTCATTTCGCATTTTTTCAAAATATGTTCTTAGAAATTAATTCGTCAGTTTTTGAAATTGCATTATTATTATAAAATTGTTTAATTGGTATTTTGTATATAGGAAGAAATGATAAACAATAAAAAAAACTTTGAATATACTATTATGTGAATAATGGTATTTCAACAGAATAAAAAAAAAAATACATTTCTTATCACTTCTCCAAATCTTATAAAATGTTAGGGAAAAGAAGTTGGATTACACCCAATAATGCTTGTGTGTGTATGGTAATGTTTTAACTTTATTTTACAGTTGTGGATACAACAGTGCCCTCAGAAACAAGTAGTGGTAGTTTATCAGATACTATATTATCAGATATATCAGGCGTGGCTTCACCATCTACATTACGACAGGGCCGAGGTAGGAAGATTCAGTCGGCATTATGGCATAAGGGACTGGATAATCTAACCTTTTTATAGCTTTACTAACAATTGACAGTCTCTTTTATTAAGTCTCAAATACAAATGCATCAAATCTGACTTTTAGGGAGATTTTTTTGTGAATTACCAATGAAATTCTACACATTAATATATTTGACTTTCTCGATCTTCAGAAAAATATTCATGTGTTTGAGGCTTAATTGAAATTGCTTTCCTGCCAATTGCAACATTTGTTCATCCCTATGAGAATTTATGTGTCGATATGAAAAGGCTATGTTCATTCTCAAGAACTCCTTTAAAATCTTTAGTCTGATTTGGTTAAATTCCCACTTAAGTTTTTGTTAAAGCAGTTTTAAAGTGCAAATTTATCTAATTTCAAAGAAAAGATTAAAGTAAGAAAATGATTGATGAATTTCATTGAAAAAATATAAGTGTGGATATCTTTGATGAACAAATGTCAGTAATTGTTATTGCTATTGCTTTTCAAGATGGATCAGGGTCGATTTAAAAACCAGGTAAATAATACAGCTACCCGGTACATGTATTTTTATTTTGAGTTTTTTTAATCTTTTTTTTCAACTGAATCTGGTAATATTTACGATGTGCAAATGAAAAAGTCTTCAGATCACTAAGAAACTATGTCGGAAATATATGCCTAGACTGGATTTATTTAATTTTGTGTAATTTTAGTGCCGTAAGCCCATATAATGCTGTATAATTTACCTTTTGTTCTTATTAGATCTTGAATAAAGAGATTCTGTAATAACAGTTTCATTATGATGATCTTTGAAACATTACTTTTATGAACAAGTACTGGATAGAAAAACATCATGCTAAATCTGTTACAATAGAATGCTATCTTCGACTGTCAATCTGCTTATAATTAGCCTTTGGAGATGGTGTTATATTATGTTAGTGTTGATTTGAAATCTACACCATTTGAAAAGATATAGAACCAATATTAAGGGTTTCACACATCACAGTTTTTGTAAAAAAAAAAAAAGACCAATATAGTTTACTTTTAAACTGAAATATTTTGTTTTTTAGTGAAATAATTTAGAAAATAAACAATATCAAATTACACAATAAGTTTGAAAATTCCTGGTCTTTTTACAAGCATTTAAATTGAATTTGGTGTAGGTTTGATTTTATATTTTAAATTCCAGTTTTACTTTTCGGTTCATTTTAATCATTTCACTTTTATAAGATATCTTTATATACATTTAAATATATAATTTAAGTATATGCACTATGTTTTAATTTTCATTTCAATTTATTTTTAATACAAGTATGTGGTACATTCATCAAATTAACATTCATGATATAATAATCTATGTACATTATTCATATTCCCATCTTTCCTTTGAAGTACAGCAGTATACTAAATATAACTGTAGCATACTACAAGCAAGTAAATGTAGATCTAACCATCATGATTATTAATCAGTACCACAATATAATATTAACCCTTTGAAGTTTAAACCCATCTGTATAGGGTATCCAGTTATCATCATAGAGACTATAGCTGTTTCTAGTTTGTATTCTAGCACGTAAATTGATAAAGGAATGATTGTCTGACATTGTTATACTCAGTATTTATCAATGTTATATTGCTGTGACATAGGGAGAATTGATAATTTATCAATCTAGGATGTACGTTACTTTTCCAAGGGTTCAGCTAGAGGCAAGAACATCATATGAGTTTTGGGCTCAAGGGTGTTTTTGACACAGTAGTTTAGAGGCAGAAAAAACAAGTTGAGTTTTGGACTTGAGGGTTTCGAGGCAGGAATATCTTATGAGTTTTGGGCTCAAGGGTTTAGAGGCAGCTATATCTTGACAGCCCATCTTGATAAATAGTTAATAAATTATATGATGCTGATATAAAGTAATATATTACATGTAAGAATACATTATATATGTCAATATTTATCATTTTATATCATATTTTCTTTTATTTTATATCATATTTTCTTTTATCAGTAAGCTGTTGGTATTGAATCATATCATATTTTTAAGTATACAAAGTCGTAATAGTTTGTGTATATAGCTATATAAAGCAACATTATAATATTTTCATTGTTCTATAACTTATATTATTCATTGCATACATGTATTTCTTCTGTCTCTCACAATATAAAAAAAAGTTACAAACAATGCAGACACTCTAACATTGACAAAGACACTTGAATGACCAGACACTATAAATGAAGTAGTAGAAATCGAGTAAACTGTTTTACTTTCTTTGGTTTTGGTTTCTTTGATAAAATTTTGAGATTTTTTTAAAGTCAAACGTTGAAATATCATTTAGATGCTCTACATTAAATATAAATATCATGTCGATTCCTTTTACCAGAAACCCAGTCTTTAAACACATGTATATTTCTTGTATTTTATTGTTTAATACTCAGTTGATAGTGTATTATATGTAGTTTAATTTTATCCGTCCAGAAAATGCTGTGCATATCAGATTTTTGTTGTAATTAAAATCATAAAAGTTTTAACAGTGTCTGAGCTCTTTAACAGTGTTATAATCAATAACAGTTAGTCAGGCATAGCTTTCAATAAGAGAAGTTAATTTTACTTTCATTAGAACCTAACCTTTTTTCCAAAATTTGACTTATGCATAACAACTATATAAAGGATTTAAGTTGTTTTTAAAAAAATTTATAAACTTTTTATATTTTAATAGACAGCTTTTCGATAAAAGATTGGGGAAATTCTGTACTTTTATCATTTACTGGTAATATCTGTTTTAGAATTAAAATATTTTATGAGATGGAAGAATTATTTTTCAGCATAATTTGTATTCGCATTATCACATGTATATCCTACTCAATCCTTTATCCTATTACTATTATACATAATTGTTATATCATATTGTTTTTATTATTCATTGTAATTTATTAATTAATTTTTTCTTCACTTTAATTGTACATATTTCACATTTGTATAATAATGAAAGGAATTAATAAAAGTACAACAAAAGTTGAACCTCAATATTAATATATGGCTAATCAAACGGGACAGTTTTTGGAATCGCACCAGCTGTTATCTAAATGTATCAGTTCTTTTAATTATAGAGAACAGCAATGTTTCCCTGGATATTGCCCTTTTACATAACAGCACAATTACTTAATTGATTTGGTTATTTATCACTTAATTGTAGTTCACCATCATCATACAGCACCTGGAGCCATTTTTTGGCCGACTGCAGGATTGCGACGACAGCAGACCACAAGCTCAACATGCACTGATTTTGACACCCTTTAAAGGTGATGGTTGCTAGTTGCTGTGATAATGCCAGTCTTGAAAGTCTTTGTATATAGCTGTAGTAGTTCTGATATATGTCAAAATAATATACGACTAACCAATTTGGAATTCATAGAACAGCTGTACTATAAGATAAAACATTTAACTGTTATTATTGAAAAACCAAGTTTGATTCTTCATTTTTCATGAAATTTCTAAGAAAATAAAAAGAAAAGCTACTGAATACAATGGACTTTTCAGAGTCAATACCATTTTTGACATGCTTGTGGATACATTACGTATTTAAATTAAGTCATGCCATTGCTCAAAGCATATATAATTATATAAAGATTAGTGTTGAGTAACTATTCTGGGAATTCTAATTTGTGTTGTGGTTTGATAGATATTTTATTTCAGTTTTGATGGCCTTGTAGATAAATCTTGAAGTGTTATGGTGACCCAAGACTACTAACTATTATGGTTCTGTTATTTCACCACAAAAACTCACATCATCATCATCAGTACTATCACATTTGGGTTTATTAGATAACTCTTATTGCATGGTTAGTAACAGTGTAATGTGAACTAACCTTATCCAGCTAATAATCTTGATCACAGTGTTTATCATCAGTCTTAAAAAACTATCTTGATGGACCCAGACCAAAAGGACCAAATACAACAGAGAGCTTATTCATTATTTATTTATACCATTCATTGATTCAGTTTCCCCCGATACCCACCACAATAAATCAGTATTAAAAACTGAATCTTATTTCAGTTTGAATATACCATTCTTAATTAAGTACCTTTTAATTCAAGTCTTCCACTGAAATACATTCAATTCTTCCATTGGAATCTGATCATTTTTTATAATAAAGGCGAAACAACAAATTCCTTTTCTTGTTGAGACTAAGATAAGGTTTAATATGGTATTGGATATTATCAGTTGTTAACTAGTTGTTTTTCAATGTTTTAAGCCACAGACCTTATATGGATTCATAGATAAGAACAGTGGTAATATTTTTCTTCGACAGCAGCAGTATCAATGTTGCCGGTGGTTTAACTCATTGGGTGGTGGTAAAATTTTTATTAAAATTCATCTTTCATCATTCTACTTTTACCATATATATTTTTGAATTTAGCTTAACAAGGATATATTGAAATAAATGGTAAGTCGTTATTGTGAAACCCATCTTTTAAACTAACTTCATCTTTTATTTAGTTCAGGTCACATTATTTGATTATTTTGTTTTGCATGAATTAATTAAAATTTATTTGAATGTTTATCTCCTGTTTGTTTATTTTTTTAGTTGCTTAATCATGCATGCTGTGATATTCTTTTGCATTTTTTTAAAGTTTGAGATTATGTTATGTATTATGTTAACATGTTTTTCATTGTTTTCACGTTTAGTTTTTATGTCCTTCAATAGGATTGGCACACACTTTGTATTTTGTAATATTGCATAACTTCTTTCATCCATTTAATATACTATGGGGAAAATTTTACTCTCTAATGTGCTACTAGTAAAAGCCAGAAAACCAAGTCATAATGAATGTTAGACGTTGTGTGAGAGTAAATTGCGTCTCAATCCCCCACCCCACCCCTTTCAAACAGAAAAAGATTGAATTTGTTTTATGTTGATATACTTTTCGACTTAGACTTTGTAGAAAATATGTATTGTTTCTTTATATTATGACCTGTTATAGCGTATTATGTGTAGGGAAATGTATTACATATTGAAAATCAGAGTGGTGGGTGAACTAACATTGAAGAAAAAATTACTTAACCTGCAAGAGAATGGACAGGCATTATACACTGGCTATTGCTTTATTGGACAATCAACATACTCTTACCAGACTTTATGGCCTATTGGTCGTCAGTCTTAACAAGCGGCTGGTACGCATTGTTCCCCGTAAGCGATGCCTTAAACTTGGAGAAACTCAAAAAAATTAATATGATTCTCTGCTTAAATAACCGAAAAATTCATTGTTCTAATTCTCTGCATATATCAAATTTTAACTGGATTTCATTTTTTTCTTAGTTATTTGTTTTGCACAGGGGTCTTTTGTTTTCTTATTTATTTTTAATAGTATGTATCGTATATTGTTAACGCATGATTCCGTCATCTCTTCATAATTCCACATGGACATTCCACTGGTCAGACTTCTCTGCGGATCTTTCTTTTTTCATTCACGTGGATTGTTCATTCACGTGGATTGTTCATTCACAGGGATTGTTCTTTGGGTTACGAGGAAGATGCCTATCAAATTGTAAATATGATACAGGACAGGGTTCCTTATTTTCAAATAGCTGTTGGAAGAACCTTATCGAATTTCACAGGGATTCGGTTGGGGTTTTTTTTTACAACTTGGTGAGGTTGTTGTTAGTGTCACAAACAAAAACTCTGTCGATATTTAGAATCCGTGCAGTTTCGTCTTTGTGGAATTGTTGAAAACTCTGTTACTTTTCATAAAGCATGAATTCAATTGGAATTCGCATAATTTTGGACGATTATTCCAGGGTCATCTCTCTATTTACAATTGGGCTGTGTAGATTTTTTAACTGCGTATTATAACTAGCAAAGGCGACTGCTGATAATGGGTGTAACGGGGCTGGTGACGTAATCTCGATGCATTTATCATTGTATACTTATTTAAGAACTTCTATTAAGCCAGGAGTCCAGGATTGTCTGCATTGTACACCATCTTTTACATAGCATGTGGATGTTCTAGATTGAAAATTGGTTTGCAACCTCATTAATTTGACGAATTGACATATATAAATATATGTATATTGTTGTATTTGTCTTAAAAATACAATATTTCACTTTTCCTGCAAATTGGCATTCACACATGTATAACATTGACACCTGAAACCAAGTGTTGAATTATAAACGTGTTGATTTCTGATAGAGCATGTATTAAATATATTTTAATGCCTAAGACATTAATAGGTTATATATATATATATGATTTCCACAACGCCCTTTAGATTTAAAACATATCTTTACTCATGTGCATACAGCATCTTCTAGCATACATATTTTTATTGCCTTTTCCATATTTCAAAAATGATTTGCATGTATATTTCATATTAAAATGTCCCTTCTCCTATTTCATTTCAGGCGGTGATTCTGGCCCGGAGAAGATCGAGCGTGAAAAATCGGATTCATCAATTTTACGAACTGCTAAACGGTTCTCCATGAAAGCTCGTAGGTCATCAACGCATCGTATGAGTACCTCCAACTCTCCCCCAGAGACACCCACTCTTTCAAAAAGTAAAGGAAGCGTGAAAGAAAAGAAGATAATAACCAAAGAAATGCATATTTAAGTTGCATGTACAAAAGTAGCTTTTATTTATTAATTGTCGAAAGCAGTTTTATTTTTTAACACAGGGACCTCTTGTACTTATGTGAAAAAAATAATAAGAATAAATCATTGCTGATAACAGGAGAATACCCTCCTTATTAATTTGTTAATCATAAAAAACGCAAGAGATTTTTTTTTATGTTAACCATTACATTGCAAAACAAAATGTTTAACAGGATTTGGGTAAAAAATGATGTCTATTTTCTAAATGAACTCTATTTAATATCATTTTCTGTTTCTATTCATGAAGTAGAAACTGTATATTTTCTAAAAGAACTCTATTTAATATCATTTTCTGTTTCTATTTATGAAGTAGAAACTGTATATTTGAGACCGAAACTGTATATTTGAGACCGAAACTGTATATTTGAAACCTAAAATGTTTTCTTATTGCCAGTCCGCTTTTCTAAATTCAAAAAGATATTATTATGATAGATAAAGTAACATGTATTTAATAGTTGTAGTTACATATTATTAACTTAAACGACATTTTATTATTAAAGAATTATTTTTTTAAATATACCACTCAGATTGTGTCAAAATTGATTTAAAATGTGCAATATAAATGACAATACAATGGGATTGTACTTGTAGGCACTTGCAAGAATTTCCCCCTAACATGTAATTTATTATATATATATATATTATTTTTTTTCAAATATGGACAAATCTAACAAACCGTTCTTTGTATTTAACTTGGTGCCGTGACCAGGATATTTTCTAAAATCATCAGATTTTAAAGGTAACTTAATTCGTTTATTTATTTTATTTATTTTTTCGACTTTGAGCTTCAATCAGTCGGTCTCTTGCAAAAAGTCTAAATCTTACATGTGTTGAAATGTTTGGTAAGACCGATTAGAGGGGAAGATGTATGTATTTAAGATCTTAATACATAAAATGCCTAAATTTGAAGAGTAGGGAATAGTATTTAATATTTAGCCATTTCTACTAAATAAATATATATATACTCATACTACCAATGTACATATATATATTATCATAGTTATACTTGCACATATAATATTTTTAGCTAGAAATTTAGAATCTCTACTATGGCTTATTCATAATTATACAGTTGTTATTGTTGTCCTGTATTAATTTGCACCATGTTTCACTAATCATGATTCTAAATTGGCATAGCCGACTCGATAGATGTATCGTATAGTTGGATAATTTGACGGCATTGTTTAAAGACAAAGACTTTAGTGGAAAATGTTATTCTGAAAAAGCTTTCGTGTTTTATATCACATAGCTAACAAGTACCTATATTTTTTTTAAAGCACGTTCTCTATCTTAATATTAAAGCGTATGATGTACTGGATTATTTTTATGTAAACATGATGTGTTGTAAATTGATTTATTTATATAAAAGTGACATATTTATTTTATAATGATCAGTATTTGTAACAATGAAACTGCAGGTTTCATTAAATGAAAAATGTCCCTCGTCCTTTTTGACCTAATTCTTTTTCTAGTTTTTATCTATCAGAACATGTATACTTTGAATTATAACAATTTCCGGCCCTTTCTCTGATTTTGAATACATTGTTAATTAAAATGAAACTCAAAGTTAGGTGTAAAGTTCGATTCCCGCTGGCATCAGTCATATGAATTTTTGTTTCAGTCTAGCTGGATCAAAAAGAAGCACACATTGTATTTGATCACCATGTAAGTCTTGTGTTCCAATATTAAGCCCCATTCACACCTTATGGAAAGTGTGACCTAGTCTTGAATCAATCTACTGAAAGAGGTATCATTTTGTATTTCAACGAGCACTTATGTTTTTTCATGATAAAAGCAGAAAAGCCCAGCTGGATAAACAAATAAAATGTTTCCGAACACAGGAATTCTTTGGAAGGACTGAATTAAATTCCAGAGGACCAAGACAACTACATGTACGTTTATTATAAAACACAGCTGGGACATGTCATTCCGATTGATGCCTAGTGGGAATAGGACCTCAATCAATATTAAAAATCTGATAGCATTAGTTGTTGATTTGGTGTGCGTGCACAGTAACATGTACCATGCGACCCGCTTTACCAAACACTGATGCAGGCTTACGATATCGTTCTTAATATTTGAGCATGCCTATATAATCGATTTATCGAATAACTTGTACTATTATTGTCAAAATTGGTTGTGAAGAGACAAACATAAAGCAGCATTGAGCTTAGTTTTAGTATTCCTTCCCAAACGAAACCACGTGAATATTAAACTTGTTGTGACAAGTTACCTATATAACTCATAAGTAAATTGTATTTGTTGATTGATGTTTTAGTCTAGATTGTTGTTGTTGTTGTTGTTTGAATTTATTTATTCATTAAATTTTGATAATATATTGCTAATATTAAATTTGTTCATTGGAATAAATATTTCAATGTATTTGAATTAGTTGCTTACTTTTTATTTTCCCGCATTAAATATACTGAGCGCCATGAAAAACGCATCACTTTTTTTTCTCAAATATTTTATTACTAGGTGGTTTTGTATGTATAATTTTATGCAATACTATGAACTATTGTTTCACACAACGCTCCCAAACGCAAAAAAATATCGGCCCGTGTGCACAAAAAAAAATTGCACGAGATGCACATGAAAAACCCAATATTCACGTGCAGCATTGTGTGAGAGCCCTTTAAAAGCATGTTTTCAACTTAATGTGCAGTACATGAACTGTGAAACGTCAATCTGCCGTAATTTGTTGTTGGACGTGTGAAGGAATCGAGCTAGAGATGCCGAGACTTACTGAAAATCAACGGAATGAAGCCATGGAAATGTCCAGGGCTGGCATGTCTACACCTGCTATTGCAAGACACTTCAATTGTCATCAGTCCACTATTGTAAGGTTGGTGGAACGTGTTGGAGTTACTGGATCAACACGTGACCGTCAACGTCCTGGTCCACAACGCGTTACAACCCAGGCTTAAGACCGCTACATCCGGGTCACTCATCTGCGTGACTGATTCCGCCCAGCGACTCGAACAGGTGCAGCAGTCGTCGGAAGACAAGGACCAGTAAGTGCCAACACCGTAAGACGTCGTCTAAGAGAAGTAGGACTCCGTGCACGACGACCTTATGTTGGAGCTATCCTCAGGGATCATCACCGTCTGCGGCGTTTGATATGGGCTCAAGGACACCAGACATGGAGAAGAGTAGACTGGCAAAGTGTGCTCTTCAGTGATGAGAGTCGCTTTCATCTTTATCACGCTGATGGCCGTCAACGTGTGTGGAGACGTCTTGGGGAACGTCTTGCAGACTGCTGCGTCTTCGAAACGAATCGATGGGGTGGGGGAAGTGTAATGGTGTCGGGAGGCTTCACATTTCATCACCGGACCGCCCTACACATTTGCAGGGGTCGCGTTAATGCTGTAGCCTACCGTGATGATGTCTTGCAACCAATTGTTGTTCCGATGTTTCGAGCGCACCCACAACTTCAGCACTTCCAACAGGATAATGCACGTCCGCATACCGCCCGTTTTAATATGGACTACCTGGCTGCTAAAAACATCAGTGTCTTGGACTGGCCAGCCATGTCTCCGGACATGGCACCGATAGAACATGTCTGGGATGAGATTGGACGCCGTCTGTATCGGAGACCACAGATGCACACCATTGCTGCTTTAGAAGCTGCTCTTGTCCAAGAATGGAACAATTTGCCCCAGGCCTTCTTTTAAACATTGGTAAATTCCATGCGACGTCGCTGCACAGCGTGCGTAAGAGCCCGTGGAGGACACACTCGCTACTGACATCTGTGTCGTACTTTTGGTTTTGACCCCTCTGACTTTGTACCCTTGATTACAGATTAAACATCCATAAGTGTACAAATGTGTTGTTATTGATGTGTTCCCATTTGAATATTGTTCACAATAAGAAGCAAAATAAATAAGATGTTTACAGGATCATTTTGTTATACGAAAAACTAAGTGATGCGTTTTCCATGGCGCTCAGTACATATCCATGTATATTGTCGTCAACCATATTGGTTGTTCTTTCTTTGGTTGCCGCTGCTGGTTGGTCTTTAACGTCTGCTTCCACAATGAATATCGCAGACAATGGTGTATGCCCTGAACAACTTTGTTTACGTTTGTAGAAAAATCCGTGTAGGCCAACTTTGACGGGACAAAGAGCGGGAGACAATATTAAAACATTCTCGATGGAATTATGTGATTTGGATTATTTCAGGATAAGGAAAGCAATAAACGATATAATGGCAACTTTACTCCGTCACAAAGGGCTGGGGGGATTGCTTCCTTGTACCTGGGTATGGCTAGTTTCGAAACGCCACCGCTGGTTAGACTACTTTGCTTTGTTAACACAAGATGTTGACTATTGTAGGCCCTACATCATGGAATGTAAATTAACTCGTTCTAAATCACAGGCTCAAGTATTATTAACCGAGTTCGTTACTCATGAATTTGGTTATCTCTCATATGAATATGAACGTAATAAACATTAGGAATAATAGATAGTCTCGCTTTAATGTTATTTTTGAAAGAACAATTCCTTTCAACAAACATACCTGGTTTTTTTTTTTTGGAATGCAACTTCTTAGCCTCGGCTGGATGTTATTTTTTGAAAGATTTAAAAAGCGACCGTGTTCAAATAGTTTCTATCTTGAAGGGACAATAACACTCTTGCTGACTTGACAGCTCCAGAAAGTAAAAAAATAACCTTATTCTAAGTACTAGATGTGTTAGTGTCTTACCTGTTGTGTAAATTATCCATTAAATCCTATTTTACTTGTCCAGAGGGTTCAAAAATATTTTTAAATCCAAGTCACATTTGAAAAGCTTTACGTCAGGCTTTTCAAATCATTAAGTTGAATTTTTCCAATTTTTTAAATTAGGTGTGTTAAGATGAAATTTGTATCAACCATTAATTGGAATATTGTAAAAGTACAATTTGTTGACCAGAATAAAGATTGGGGCATATTATTCAGTTACAACAAGAGTGGTATTGAGCCTTTAATAGTCCAGGCTGATTTACGGTCGTCTGAATATTGCTAAAATTCATAAATAATTATATTGAAAATGTTTCAGTTTCACGTGACTACTGATCTAGCGATTATTTCGCAAACAATCTATTGATAGGATTTTGTTAGGCTGTATAAATGAATAATAAAATATTATTAATTTTAAATCACGTGAACAGGCTTCATTTTAAACCATTAAAAATGTGGCCGCACTATGGGTCGAAAACCAGGCCTAAAATTTGTCATAATTTAAACTTTTTAAAAACGGCCAAGATAAATGATATCGACTTATATTCATGTGTGTTTTATCTGTTCGATATGACACTAATTTAGTTATGACTAAGTATTTGAAATTGGCTAACTTTATCTTAACGCTACAGTAATCGTTTTTGTATGCCCACAATTTCACCCCTGTCCGCCCGTCAATCATACAGGTCATAATTTTTATCTGATTTTAACCGCCAATACTATATACCGGAAAACACCATGTTATACTGAATACCGGGAAACCACCAAATACCGGAAAACACCCTAAATAGGTAACACAGAGCCTGGTCCGCTGTTTGCGGGGAGTTAGGGTTAGAGCTAGGGTTAGGTTTTTCCGCTGTTTTCTAGAGGACCAGTGGTGGGTTAGGGTTAGGTTTTTCCGGTGTTTTGCAGGGGACAAGGCTCCGAGTTACCTATTTAGCATGTTTTTGGTATTTCGTGTGTTTTCCGGTATTTAGTGTGTTTTCCGGTATTTAGTGTTTTTCCGGTATTAAGTATAACATGGTGTTTTCCGGGTGTTTTTCGGTGTTTTCCGGTATATAGTATAGCCCATTTTAACGAAACTTGACATATAGGCGTATCTCCCAAAGATCCGGTTCCTTTCTTAATTGGCATGTAACGGACCGTAACTTCATGGATTATTGCCCCTGATTGTTCGAAAATCACGTTTTTAGCTTGTGGACGCCCGATTTTGATGAAACTTGACATGTTTATTTATAACCGAAACATCTCGGTTCCTTTCGATATAAGCGCATATCGGACCGTAACTTCCTGGATTATGGCCCTTGATTCTACGAAATATTGCGTTTTTAACTTGTGGTCCCTCTAGAGTCACAATTTCTATCCCATTTACAAAAAAAACCCGTTCTAATTTTTTGGAAATGAGACCGAAACTACCGGACAAAATGGCCGCTTCTCGGACGCAAATAGTGTAAAAGTATGGCATTTCAAGGTTGTGGACCCTCTAGAGAACACGATAGTTATCTGATTTTGATGAAACCTTAATTTTTTGTTTAAGACACAAGGATCTCGGTTCCTTTCGATAATCACGCATATCGGAACGTTACTTCCTGGATTATAGCCCCTGATTGTTCGAAAAATTACGTTTTTAGCTCGTGGACCCTCTAGAAGTCAAAATTTGTATTCAATTTTAAAAAACCGTTGAAATGTATCAACGTTCCACCTCAATGAAGGTTGAGATCGACTTTCATAAAAATCCGACTGAAACTACCGGACAAAATGATTACTCCTCGCACGCATATAGTGGACTCTCTAGAAGTCACAGTTTTTATCCGATCTTGATGAAACTGCTTGACAAAATGTCTGCTACGTGTACACAAATAGTCTAAAAGTATGTAATATCAAGGTTATGGACCCTCTAGAAGTCGCAGCTTTTGTCCAATTTTGATGAAACTTAAAATATATGTCTATATTCGTTCATATCGGACTGTAACCTCATGGATTATGACCCTGCTTATTCTGTCTATCTCTTGCAAAATGTGGGCGTATCTTGCCTGGCAATCGCGGGTTTAATTTTATATCTTACTAGCAATTGACCCGGCGTAACACGGTCAGATCTGAATATTAAGGCCACCTGCAGATTTCCTCAAGGGTTGGCGCTAGCCTGGCTTACATCTCGTGACTTTGGGGAAATCTTCATCGAGGTCCACAATTGGCTGTGGACACTATAGAGACTACATTATCCTGTTATTGCCTGGTCGACCTGAAACTTGTTTTATATTGTTCTGTTTGAGAAGTATCTAATTGTTGTGTTCATAAATAATTACTCTGGAACCCAGTATTCTTAACTAAATTATATAATATCCAGTAAGGAAATCAAGTAAGATAAACTATAAATTATGTATTTAAACACATTTAAAAGTTTTTAAGTCTTAATTTCCACAATTTACATTTTCTTCATTGCACTCTGAACTCAGTGATAGCCTGCCTCATGTTATCTGAAATGGTATCTTGTTAAAATGATATACGTGAACAGTACACAAATATTAACATATCTGTGCTATTGACTCCTCAACTATTTTGCCAAAAACCTACTAAATTCTAGTTATTGCTGTGAGAACGAATCACTCGAAAATTTCATGGTATTCGTCGTATCCGATATATTAACGGCCACTCTAAAAGT